CTCATAGGAAATGAAATATTATTTGCCTACGAGCAGTTTTTATTTTATTTTATTTTATTTTATTTTTTTTTGCTTGTTTTCTTTCAACGAGCCAATCTCACCCTCGGCAGGAAACCCGACTCTTTCATTAATCAGTTTTATTCTTTATTGGAGCGATAAAACAAGCAGAGAAAAGAATGTGACACAGTTTTATTGTTCTGAAGTTTGCTAAGCCAGACATCCATTGACCTCTTAAAAGTAGTATAATTATTATTTTATTAGAATTGCTGCTACCAGCGTCGTGACAGTAAATGTTATTTGTCATAATAGCAAATAATAAAAAGTAGTCACCATCGGCAAGACAGCCGATAATGCTGATAGAACTCACGAAAATTACTGTTCTCAAAAATGACTTAGATTTTAAGTTTTCTGTTTGTTTTTACTCTTGGTGCAGGCAGGCATAACTAAAATGATAAACATATTTGTTGTCTCCTTACAACAAATTAAAATTTTTCTCGTTTTAACTTTTATTTCGTGCAAAATAGTTGTTACAATTGTATGTAAACGCATTTTCTGATATACATTTTTTAAAAAAAAATGACACCCCAAGCAATGCAGGAGTGTCACTAGTACGCAGGGTGTTACAGAGAGAAAGACTGGGTATTAGGGGGGGGGATTACGGAAAGGATAAAAAGAAGAAAGGGGATCAAGGCATCGGAAGATGACTATTGACGTTGCATTAAATTTTTGAATGTTGTAGTTATCTGGGAAGCAAGTAAGAGGAAGGGAGTTACACTGTCGGGAAGTGCGAGAGAAGAAGCTGTTGGAGTAGAAGAGGCGGTTACATTTAACTGTTTCAACAGTAAAAGGGTGGGTTCTAGATACCAACCTAGTAGCATGCTTAAATTCATGTAGTAGGGTCAGCAGGAAAAATGACTCGTATGAAAATATTTGTAGAAAAGACAGAGAGAAGCCACATCACGTCTGTGGAAAAGTGACTGGAGTCGAGATGGCAGATCTGGACCGACTATATTGCAGATCTTTCTTTGAATTTTGTCGAGGACCTCGAGATGAACAGCAGGTGAACCAAACCATATATGGCAACAGTATTCAATACATTCCTCATTTTCTCGACATGATAGAAGTCAAAATCATTTAGGCTGTTTTATGTGGGAAGACATGTCGTCCATTCTGCAACCTCTTACCCCAACGTTCGCGTTCTACCGCTATTTCTATGGCAAATGTTCAGTTGAGCGCACCATTCTTTAGTACGAGCAGTTCAAACAATTATAGCTAGGAAACGCCATACTACGTACTCGGAATAGAATCACCCTCATTTTCACCGTTTGTATGAAGGGAGTTCGACTCAGACAGCTTTTTCACCCAAGAACTGTTGCTTTGTGAAACAGACTCTATCATGGACGGTTTTTTGAACACTGTAATCTGAATGCCTTCAAGTAATGGGTTAATCATTGAAATATCTATTCATCTTATCCTCATAATCCCCACTTCCTTCCCTGTTCTCTTATACACCACATTCAGAAATCATCCACTTTGTAAAACTCGCCCTGCCCCACGTACCCTGGGACAAATCTTCCCTATTCCCTTCGTATTCCATTAGTAAGGAGGAAGTTACACACAGACAGATTCCTCCCAAGAATTACCATTTTGTGGAAGAGATTCAAGGGAGGATGTTACCCGGATCTTAACAATTTTAAACTCTTTGAGTCTCTGGTTAACCCTTATCTATCCTACATATCCTCATAATCTGCACACTTTACTTACTCTTTTTACCTTCATACAACAACCTTATTCAGTAAGCTTCTAGTTTGAGTGGTTAGGCCTTGTATTATTTGAACAATTAGTCCTAATTGGACTTTTCCGCTAATTACTAATTTATTTCTTACTGTTTTTATATGCACTAGTATTTATAGTACTAATTAGATTTTTAAACGATTTTTTATTATTTGAAGTATTGTCAGCCATTGTTGATTTTTTACTTGTATTTCTTTCATGTTAACCTTAGTTGCTTTTCATAGATATTTCTCAAATCCTTATTCTGCAGTTTTTTAATCGAAATCACCCCCGTGCAAGGCAGTAGAGCCATTGTAATACAAGGGGTTACTGGGTGTGGGAGAATTAGGATCAGAAACATTAATAATGAGCGGGAATAGAAAAAGGTAATCAGGAGGACAGTAAGATTGGGATTGCACTTAAATTTTTGCAGATTAAAGTTGTCTGGAAAGCATGGAGCCGAAAAGGTGTTCCACCATGCCGGAAAGGAGTTCACCATGCCGGGAGGGAGTTCCACCATGCCGGAAAGGAGTTCCATCATGCCGGAAAAGAGTTCCACCATGCCGGGAGGGAGTTCCACCATGCCGGAAAGGAGTTCCACCATGCCGGAAAGGAGTTCCACCATGCCGGAAAGGAGTTCCATCATGCCGGAAAGGAGTTCCACAATGCCGGGAGGGATTTCCACCATGTCGGAAAGGCGTTCCACCATGCCGGGAGGGAGTTTCACCATGCCGGAAAGGCGTTCCACCATGCCGGAAAGAAGTTCCACCATGCCGGGAAGGAGTTCCACCATGCCGGGAAGGAGTTGCATCATGCCGGAAAGGAGTTCCACCATGCCGGGAGGGAGTTCCACAAACGAAAAGTGGTTACCAATAAACAATGTTGAACGGAAATTATAATCAGGGAAAAGCAAAGAATTAGTTTATGTTCTTAGATTTAATCGTCTACTCTGGAATCTTACAGATCAGTCAGCAAGAGCAGTTAACATGGCATAATATGCTTACTGAGGCAGAGATATGAGATTAAGTTACGCTTATATTTCCAATCCGTGTTTTTTATTTATTTATTGATAACCGGTCTGAGGTGTTACGATAAAAAGCAACTGAAATTAAGATGAAGCAGATAAAAATTTAAAAATTCGTAATGGTTGAAGACGAAACATTTCAAAATAATATTGTTGGTAATTTGCTTTATAGGTGTTTCATACGGCTTCATTTACAGATGAAAACTTTACTCTTTTTCTCCTCCGCCTCTTCCTTGTTGTTGTTGTTGTTGTTGTTCTTCTTCTTCTTCTTCTTCTTCTTCAATAATAATAATAATAATAATAATAATGATCTTTCGGTGCCCCAGACCCACGAAATAACGTCATTTGATAGTCATTCCCAGTCGTATGATTTGCTGAGAGAGAAAGGCGGATATGCTTAGTGACCCTCAAATGTTCTTGTTGCGTCTTCAACACAAAAGAACAAAAGGCAAAGAAACATTGAATGAACAATTGATAAAAAGGAAGTACTTAACATTTTAGTTCAGTTCAGCAGTTGATTGGCAGCCGTGAAAGCCGACATTTCATTCTTTGTTTAAATGTTTGTGGTCCCAAAATCAACCCAGGCCCAGAAAATCTTTGCTAGCAAACAACGCTGTAAGGTCGCAGTAATTACAACAACGAATACAAATTTAGATCTCTAATGCGATTTGCAGGTCGGGAACACTAGAATCAAGCAGACGCAGAAGTTTAAATATATGGGAAGCGTTTTGACAAAGGACGGTAAATGTGACACTGAGATCCGTAGACGTATTGGGATGGCCAAGGACACATTCCAAAAGCTGGGCAGAGTATTGCAAGACAGGAGGATTTCTTTGGTAACAAAGAAAAGAATACTGAACTGTTACGTGACATCTGTTCTTCTTTACGGTTGCGAATGATGGACGATTTCCTCAAAGATGAAGAAGAGACACGAGGCAACGGAGATGTGGTTCTACAGAGGGATGCTAAGGATATCATAGACCAAGCGTGTGAGCAACGATGAGGTCTTGGAAAGGATGCAGACAAGGAGAAGGCTTATACTTAACATCAGGAATACGCAGCTGAAATTTCTGGGACATGTAAGGAAAAAGGAGGGCTTGGAGAGACTGATACTCACGGGTCGAATAGAGGGAAAGAGGGACAAGAGAAAACAACGCATGACATACCAAGCAGGCTTGAGCAAGTGGATGACAGAACGTGGTCTGGGAAGATGGCAGTGGGAAGGAACTTGTTGAGAGCTGCGAGGGATAGAGGAAGGTGGAGAGCCATGATCGCCTACGTCCTGAAAGGACATGGCACATAAAAAAGAAAGCTTCCAAATTAAACTCAACGGTTTTTTTAAATTTGATTTTTTAAACTATCTGAATTTCTTTGATGAAAAGTTATCATTATTTACACTATTTGCACACGGACTATTGCCCTCATTGTCCTTTGTTGTTGTTCTCACTGAATTTCTGGGATGAAGAGTTATCCTTATTTACACTATTTACATTTGGACTATTGTCCTCATATTTGCTGTTGTTGTCACAATGTTTCGGTGGTTGTTCTCTTCGGCCTTCATCAGATGCTTGTTGATCCGATTAGTTTTTAGGGTCATTTTGATTGAACCCTTTATTTAATATGTGGGAGTCAATTGTTCTTGTTCCGTTGTCTCGCCTTGCTTTTATTTAGTCTTGTTTTGTTTAGTAATTGTTTGCACTACCCGCATCAGGGATTGAACTCACAATTACAATTTATCCAAATTCAAAAACTAATGCTTCAATCAACTAGGCTATATTCTCGTGGGAGAATTTACCCCAAAGATTAAAAACGTGGTTCAGTTCGATATTCCCTGAAGTTGACCCGGATTGACAATCACTCAAAGAACACCGGAGAGCACAATGACAAAAACGTTTTGATAATAGCAACAAAGATGAAGACAATAGTCCGAGGGTAAATAATGAAAATATAAGATTTCGTGTTAAATTCACTGAAAAAATGAAATATACGCCAGTTTTAAAAAAAACATTTCGCATTTAAACAGTGGCCACAATAACAACAATAATAATAATAATCGAAGGAAAATCCGCAAAAATATCTGGGAAAATATCTGGAAATATCTGGAAATATGAAAGTAGTAAATGTGCCCATCATTATTGGAGAGCTTGGAAAAGTCCTCCAAACGTTCACAAAATGACTGAAATCAAGAAAAAATTGAAACCATTTAAACGACAGCCTTTAAAATATTAAACAGAGAGCTGCCGTCTTGGTGAGGTTTGCTCTCACTTGACAGAGAGCTGCCGTCTTGGTGAGGTTTGCTTTCACTTGACAGAGAGCTGCCATCTTGGGGAGGTTTGCTCTCACTTGACAGAGAGCTGCCGTCTTGGTGAGGTTTGCTCTCACTAGACACAGAGTTGCCGTCTTGGTGAGGTTTGCTCTCACTAGACAGAGAGCTGCCGTCTTGATGAGGTTTGCTCTCACTTGACAGAGAGCTGCCATCTTGGTGAGGTTTGCTCTCACTAGACAGAGAGCTGCCGTCTTGGTGGGGTTTGCTCTCACTTGAGAGAGTAACCATAAAAAATATGATAGGGAAACTTCATGAGTATAAAATACTGACGAAAATTTTGAAACTCGTTCTTATTCTCCGAGTTATTCAGAGTAAGATTCACATCTTTTTTATTTTATTACCACATTTCAACCGATACACTCTTTGGCCTTCATCAAATGTATAATTCATGATGTACGAATATCGCACGTCCGGAACAAGTAGCAATTATGTGGGTATAGTCTAATGGCATATTAATCTGAAAGAAAACCAAATAAAAAGGGAAGATTGTGTTGCGCACACTCTTCCAATGAAAGAGGACTAGAGGGCTTACTTTGAAAATCAGTGTACAAATACTAGTTTGAACACTCATCATTAGCCTTCATCTTTAATCACATTTTATAAAGTCAACGTTAAAGTTAAAAGTCCAGGTCACATTTCACTGATGTGATTGTAAAATCCCTTATGACTTCAAGTATAAATATCTTTTATGATTGTGTCGTTTTGCTCCAATTGCTCGCCTATTTTCCATGGTTCCCACTGTTGCATTGTATTTAAATTTTTTCTCAGATGCGATTTCAAATATTTTTGAAGGATGAGAAAAAAAAAACCCACCGAGTTTATTGTTCATAACCGTTGCTTCCATTTTCATTTCTCTTACGATTAGAACTTGTATTAGTTTTTAATATCTGATTTATTTTACCTTTCCTTCTTCAACAAACATCTGTTAATTTATGCATAAAAAATAATTTTTTTTATTTTCTCTTGCCAAAATACACTTTAACTTTAATTGGCAGATCATTTTAATTGCATTTAGATAAAGTGGAATGCTAATGGATCTTCCTACTTGAAATACTGCCTTAGATCAATGAAACAAATAAAGTATAAGCGAAACAATTATTCGCAAAAAAGATATGGAGTCAGTAATCCCACGCAGAAAAAAAGATACTACTCACTTATCGAATTGTTTAGAGAGAGAAAGACAGAGAGAGAGAGAGAGAGAGAGAGAGAGAGAGAGAGAGAAGGTGAGAAAGAAAGAAAAGATTGATGGCAAAAAGAAAGAGAGTGAGAACGAAAGAAAGAAAGAAACTTATATATATATATATATATATTTGTGATCATATTTTACACATAAATAGTAGGATCTTACTAGGAAATTATCCTTGTGGATCAAAGCATTGATTTGTGATTTTGGTAACGTAGTAATTGTAAATTCAATCCCTGAGTTTGATCAGACCAAAAATGGAGTATTGTTCACTATCTGGGTCAGGGGTCTTTAATACTGAGGTACCCAAACATCGTAGTGATTCCTGTATCCTAGTGATTTCAAATATCTCACAACGCTCTCAATTAATATGTGGAGTATTTCTGCGATGTCCCGTGTCATGTGAGCTAGATTATTCTTATGCAGCAATTTGATATGATTATCATCACCAACAACCGAAAGGCCTGCCGCAACGTTCTCGATTTTCGAGATCAATATTCCACTTCTGACAGGTGCCACCACCCCGGCTCAGGGTGGACTTGGGAACACCGGCAATTAAGAGGTGGTTAAAAAAACGTCTTGAACAGAGGCCTTGCTGTAGGGTGTAGTTTATGATCTTACCCAGGGCGAAAATCTCTTTCTCTCCACATGGATATATACATATATGGATATATACATATATGGATATTTACATATAGAGATAGCGATTTTTCAATTGCAGTTTAGTTGCGTGATTGTTGAATAACAATATTTCTATGTCACTGTTGTTTTCATCTTCAGTGTCCAGTTTTTTTAAAGGTCAGATATTAAATTATTAACAATAAGAAAATTGTATCGTTTTTACAATTTCAAGTTTACAATTATTTTAGCGGATGTGACGGGGCATAATGGTATGATATCTTTTTCGGTCAAGTTGGATTGTAATGAGTTCAGATAAAACTATTTATGTCAATTGGAGGGGATCTCATGAAAAAGAAGCAATAAGTGAATGGACCGGAAAGGAAAGGAGAATAATTCGTAAATAATGTGGAGTCATAAATAATAATCCTTGATGTCTGCAGATAAGACCCAAGGATCCAGGAATATTTGGGCGAACACCTACGCAGCAAAAGAAATTTAGGTCTCTGAAATAAATCATTTATCGAATTGTTTAGAGAGAGAGAGAGAGAGAGAGAGAGAGAGAGAAAGAGAGAGAGAGTGAGAAAAGGTGAGAAAGAAAAAAAAAGATTGATGGCAAAAAGAAAGAGAGTGAGAGAGAGGGGAAGAGAAGAGAATAAATAAATAAATAAATAAATAAAGAAAGAAAGAAAGAAAGAAAGGGTGATGGAAAAATGAAAGAGAGAAAGAATGATAGTGAGAGAGTGGGGAGAGGAGAAAGAAAGAAGGAAAGAAAGAGAGAAGAGACAGCGACAGAGAGAGAGAGAGAGAGAGAGAAATGAAAGTAAATGCAGAGAGAGCGTAAAATAACAAACTTTAAAGAGACATACAGAGAAGGGAAAAGTGAAATGGTGGGAGAAAAACGATGAGAAAGAGCATCAGAGAAAGAGAAAAAAAAGGGAAAGCGAAACAGAGAAAGGTAAAGTGTGGGGGAAAAAGAAAAAGAGAAAGTATTAGAGTGAGTGAGAGAGAGCTTATCTCTGACCAATTATAGTATTTATTTTTGAAAAAATGGAGAAAATCCATTACGTGTACCTGCATCATTATATTGTGTCATAATCCTCAAAGCATCTAAGTTGTTTGCGGATAAAGTGAAGCACCGTATAATCTCTCACAAGTTTGGTTCTCGTGACTACTGGCGGCTCTGTAAGAGTGTGTTAAAAAAAGGTAGATCCTCAATCCGTCCCCTCATCAATCAATTTGAGCACAGAATGTTTTGTTCGTAAATTCTCTTCCAATTCTACTCTTGATTCATCTGGAGTATCTTCTACTATGTGACATGTTTATAACTCCGTCCATGGTTTCCACTATCATCTCTAAAATTGATCCCTTGATGGCTTCCTTCAATGGTCTTTAAGAAACGTGCCTGTGAATTGGCCCGTGTTCTCACCAATCTCTATATTAGATGTTTTGCTGTTTATTGCTTTCCGGGTTGTTGGAAATCCCCATTTGTACTTCTTATTTTTAAGAAGTCAGGCGAACCGACTGATCCATCGAACTATCGACCTATTAATCTCCTACCTCTCCATGGCAAAGAACTAGAGGCGCTAATCAATTCCGAATCTGTTAAGCATGTTACCTCGCAAGGTATTCTTTCAAACAACCAATAGAGCTTTCGTTTCTGTAGGTCAATCACCGATGTTTTGACGACTATTGATCAAAGAGCTTGTAAAGCTTTAGATAAGAATGGTGAAGTTCGGTCTATTCCCTTAGATATTTCGTAGTTCTTTGACAGTGTTTGGCATGCTGGTCTTTTCACAAGTTGAAGGCTATGGTATTTCTGCCTGTTTCTTTTGATTCAATTTTTCTTATCAAAGCGCATAATGAATGTCATCTGGAACGTACACTCCTCTTGATCATTTTGCATTAAATTTAATCCATTGAGCCCTGCGTTCCTGAACCTTTCTGCCTGAGCTCCTGAGTCAAAATTCGCAAATAATTGGTATGTAATGTTTCACGGTAGATATAGAAATAGTTACAAGTGTTTACCCACCGATCAACCGGTAGCTGGGCATTAATTCATTTTTCTCTACCACTGTTGAACCGGTAGCTAGGCATTACGTCATTTTTCTCTGCTACTGTTCAACCGGTGGCTGGGCATTACGTCATTTTTCTCTACCACCATTCAACCGGTGTCTGGCAAAAGTCATTTTTCTCTGTTCAACCGCTGGCTGGGCATTAAATCCTTTTCTCTACCATCGGTAAAGAGGTGGTCAGGACTCCATTGGTTAAATGCAATCATCTTATGTCTCCTTAAATCCTGTTTTTTATGTCCTCTGTTTTTTCACTCTCAGTAACCCCTTTCAGATAAGTGGCTGTTATTGCCTTGAATGGGGTGTGAAATAATTTACACACACACACACACACACACACACACACACACACACACACACACACACACACACACACACTCCAACGGAATCGCACAGATATAGTAGATGTAAATTTCGTACAAAGTGCATTGATGGTAGAGCACTCTGTCTGTCCATATCTAAATATGCACTCGCCTATCTCAGTTCACTCCAAAGTTCAAGGTCCTGAATAATTTTGTTTAAGGATCCAAGATCGGGTTTTGTCCATTTCATTATGTCTTAGTTTCTTGGTTGAGTCTCACTGTTTCTTCTTCCACAATTATCTTTTTGATATTCCTTTTCTGCTTCATTTCATGCGGCCTGGCACAGGCCTCCGCCCCTAGGCTGCTGGTATCACGGTACGACCAGCTTGAACCGGCTCTGATCAGTATGGACCAGCTATGACAAGCCAAAGCAGCTATGACTTGTTTAGACCAACTCTGACCAGCTTAGACCAGCATCCCCGAGTGAAAAAAACTTGGGTCCCCACTTTAAAAACTGACCTTGTGTCAACCTGACTCAGTGGGAGGTGGGGTGGCAAGTAAATATCCATAAAACTTAAGGGTTTTAAAATTTATGAAGGGATAATTGGAAGTATACATGATTATATTACATTTAATAAATATAGTGAAAAACTGTCAGTTAGCCACGTTCAGCAAGTGAGTCTCGTAGCCTATTCTCCAGTTAGTTCGTATCTCACTTGGTACCCGTCTACTGGCCCTGCTCTTATAGACACGCAGACATACATTCTTATGTATGTACAGGGCGGGCGTCTGCAAAGTTTTCAGTCCGACGTTGATATATTTAAGAGAATCTCTTTTTTTTTTGAAAAGTAAAAGTAAAATTTTTTTTTTTTTTTAATCAAGGCTTTTCTTTTTCTTGGAAAAAAAAATCATCTTTAAATACAAATTTAACCGCAAGAAATGATTAAAAGATATTGTCACTCGTAAGCAATGATATGCGGTCAAGAGATAACCGATCTCTCATTTCTGACGTCAAAGAAGGGAGTATAAAATGTCATGTTGGTGTGTTTTTATAACTGGAGAAAAATGCGACTCTGTCGGTGAAAAGAGTCGGACATGTTGTTACGTGCGTCCTTTACTCATTAAGACTTTGTAAGTTTAACACGAATCGGTAAATGGAGAAATTGTTCTCTGCCGGAATCAAATCTATAATGTTAGTTACACAAACGCGCGCGCGTCTAAATACCCACACGTACACACAGAAACGCACGCAGACATACATCTATAAATATATATATATATATATATATATATATTGTCATCCGCAGACAGACTGTTTCGCTGTATCACAGCTCATCAGTGTGGCATGACATCCGATTGCCTCAAGCCAGGATTGAAACTTGGCATCAGTCGGAGATTTTTCCCCTAAGCTATCAGCTCTCGGCAGAGAGGAAGGTGAATTTTAACGTATTTATTTTTGAATAAACACACCAGTGACTCAGAATGCTCGATTCAAAGAAGAGCTTTGCATTATCAGCAGTAGCAGTCACTGTTTACAATTTGCGCTTTTCCTCTAAAAGTGCTCGACCAAATTTTTTTTTTTCGGGGACGTATATATTGTCATCCACAGACAGACTGTTTCGCTGTGTATGTGTACACACACACACACACACACACACACACACACACACATATATATATATATTTAATTTATTTTAAGTTATTAAAAACATTATTACTATTATGCTTAATAAATTATGTCTTTTAAAATAAATGTTACGGAGAGTGGAATTATACTCCATTTGTTCTCATTTTACCTGGATACATACATACATACATACATACATACATACATATATATATATATATATATATATATATATATATATATATTGAGACATATTTCATTTAGTAATTTAGACAAGTTTTGTCTACTTATTTTGAAATGGATCATTTCATATTTTTACATGTGAAGTGAAGTTCTCCATTAAAAAATTTTAACTTTCAGATCAACACAGAAATTTCGTTTTTGAAAATAAAGAACAGTACTATACTTGTCTTGAAAATAAAACAACACCCCGATGTTGACATTGTGTTAATGTCGATAATACTCGGAATAAATAATATGTATCAACACGGTAATTTTCTCTCTTCCTTAATAATGACACCAAAAAGCTTACCCGTGAGTATGAAAGGATCCAATTGAAAATAAGTAGACAAAACTTGTCTAAATTATTCCATGAAATATGTCTCAATTAAAACATAGTTTTTAAATAGTGTGGCTAGTCTCTGTGTATGAAGATAAGACAAAGTTAACTACGTGTTTCACTCCTTATAGTAGGAGTTCTCAAGCTGTAATGAGCGGCAAATGCAGGTATGAGAAAAGCAGGTTAGAATATAGGGAAGAGATAATAATGATCCTTTTCAAACGTTCCAGCAGGTGTGTTGATTTTTGTACTGAAGACCCCAACATCTGTTGGATTTCTTATTTAGCCTTTCTGATCAAATCTCTGTTTTTATATATATATATATATATATATATATATATATATATATATATATATATATATATATATATATCCAGGTAAGTTGAGAACGAATAGAGTACACTCTAACGTTCGTAACATTTAATCTAAATGAGGGCTCAATACAAAATAGTGCAATATTATTTATTTTTGGATATTACACTAAAAACGTCAAAATCGCTACACAATTACAGTCGTGTTTCGATGTATATCAATGCATCTCATCAGGCGATTGTAAATTACTGGCGAGTGATGGATATATAGATGATGTATATATGGATGGCAGTTTGCCTATAAACAGACTAAATTATTTTGTTAATTTTCGTTTTGTCAACTGAAATAGTTCTTGGCTTTCACCTAGCTTAATCAAGATTAATTACTAATCTATTTATCTGCCATAGTGTTATGGGACCTTACCCATAATAACATAATGGACTATTCCATACGTAATAAATACTGCGCCTCAAGAGGAAGCAGGGAGTTCAGTCCGAAGTCGGGCGACCGGCTGATCGGCTGATCGGTTGAACTCTCTGCCTTCGGGCGGGGAGGAACCCGAAGGAGGCTACGCCGAAGGGCGGATTCTCTTTCGGGGAGGTAAACCGACCCTGAACCCGTTTATACGGGTTCAATTAGGCATATTTTTGGCCGAGCCCACGGGCTCGGAGATCCCACGGGCTCGGAGATCCCACGTTAAACCGGCCTTGTGCCACATGATGCCCTCGTGAGGGGGGGTGACTAAATACTGTTCAGTCTGAAGTCTGGAGTGAAGTCTGTCAGGAGTCTGTCAGTCAGTCAACTTCGACTCCCACCACTCATACAGTGTAAATAAAGGGATGTTCCGCTGCTTACAACATCGATCAAACTCAGCGACCCATAGATATATGAACAAGAAATGGTCAGTAAAAGCAGTACCCTACAACGTAGCAACTACCCTGGGTACATGGCCGCAGCCTCGACAAACTGGGGTAGAAGGGTACATGATGATAAAAACACTCATAAGACAGTTTCGGTCTGCCTATCCTCTGTGAAGAGCTTATCGGAAAAATGCAAAAGATATGTGCTCCATATAACACCAGGACAATCTTCGGGAGTGGTTTAACCCTACGCAGAGTAAGACCGCCCAAGAAGAGAACATGATTATAGACTGTGTGTACGCCATCCCGTGCAGTTGTGATAAAACATATGAAGGAGAAACAGGACGTCTTCTTAAGATAAGACTGCAGGAAACACTGCAAGGTTGTAACACCAGGGCAGATAGAAAAATCAGATATGTAGAGAAAAGTGAGGTCACTGCTCTCTGTGAGATGAAGTTGAAATAATAGACAGAGAACATCACCGGAAAATACGAAAACTTAAGAAATCAGCTCATATGCTAAACTAAAAAAATCTCCTGAGCCGACCAAACATAGACATAAATAAAATATAGGAACCAGTAATACAGAGCGCTAGAGAAAAACAACAATAGCACAAGATTGTAATATGAGCTCTGTTAAAAAAAAAAAGGTTATTGAGGCAGTTTATAATTCATCCAGTAATGTCCCCATGGAGACATAGCCCAGTGGATAAAAGCGTTGGTTGATTGACCCAAAAGTGACTTGACCCAAATTTAAATACCTGGCCACAACAGAGGGAACAAGTGGAGTTATCAAGAGAAATTAACTGAAACTGAAATATCCAAAATAGGCATGGCACGTTGATTTAGAACAATCTATACCTGTGGACTAAATAATCGGCTCGATTAGAAATTCCAAAAATATCACCTGACGAAAGCCGGAGTGTAGAACGGCCGAAACGTCGTGAATGTGGCAATAAAGATAAGGACAACAGTTCAAACAATGTAAATAGTGTAACTAGTTACAATACCTCATCTAAGAAATATAGACTGATATTGAAGAAGGCTGGAGCGTACAAAGGCCGAAACGCCGTGAATATAACAATAAAGGTAAGGACAGCAGTCTAAACAATGTAAATAGTGTAAATATTTACATTACCTCATCTCAAAAATATAGACAGATCTATCATCCTGCTCTTAATAAGTACTGCTCTGTTTTTGCTCATCCTGTTTCCCTGTGTCTGTCTGTAGAAGCTGGTTCATTGATTAAACTCAAGACCAAAGCTTAAATCCTAGAGTGTATTGTTCCTGATACAATCCTGAATGTAAAACTTGAAGTATTTTATCTACTTTTCTGTCTTGCCTGTTTGTTGCTGCTGCTGCTACTGTGACTCTTGACATTAATCACCACTTCTTCTCTATTACTACCTCTGAAGCGTTACTGCCAATTTGATTTCTTTACTTATTAACGGCTCTCACATACTGCTTATTTCTATGCTAGGCCTACCAATAAATTATGTACTTTAATAGCATAAACGCCGCGCATCTAGATGCTTGTATCGATAGTTAGGAACAGTAAGACTATCTAGTAGAACGATTGTCAGTTTAGTAAGTTGAATGCTCCTCATTGTGAAACTGGTATGTTCAGGATAGTTAACCAGTTTCTACATTCGGACTTATGTATATAGATATATACATTTTGAGGGGAAAGATGCATGACAAAGTGGAAAAAGTTTTCATGTGATGTTTTTTGTCCTTTGGGACTTCTTCAAACTGAGTTTATGTTTACGTTGATGTGACTAGACATGCGCACAAACAAGAGACGCAGGGAATATTAAATTTAAAGATGACTTTTTAATATTTCTTTTCGGTATAAAATCTAGCCTATTATATTTAGGTTCTTTTTTGTTTTTATTTCTATCAGTAAGTTATGTGCCATATGTGATACATGCTTAGCCGATCATGTCTCTTTCGATATATGACTGACGAAGCAGATTTTTTCCCGCAGTAGGTTGTCATTTCTTTCTGCGCTAAACCAGTTGCCATCCAAGGCTAGAGAACCCGGTCTGTCCTGCTATTTACCCATAGCTGGGGGAGAAGAAGAAGATTCATACCTTTCCGAAGGGTATTATCGCGTAAGTGAATGTAATGGATTCGACTGGAATTCGAACTCGGCTCATTTGTTTCCATCACTTTTGCCATTAAGTATCCCACACTGTGATAATAGAAGATCTGCCGAGAATGGTGAACAGTGAATGGTGGACGCAAATTTACTGTGGATGATCTAGCGATTAAAACACTTTCTAAAAAGAAATTGTCTTAGTGAATTATTTTCCCTTTTAATTAGTGTAGCACTTTTTATATCAAAATTTAGGACAGTCTCGTTACGGTGAATAACTAATGCATTTAATGTGTTGTTTTGTAAAATATTCTTTTTGTGTTCATATAATCTTTTATTTAAATTTCTTGAGGTTTCTTCGATGGATTCTTTGTAGCAATCATTTCAGGTAGTAGTGTAAATTCTTCCTTCAAGGTTTTAGCTTATTGTTTTGTTTTTATTGATTAAGTTTTTTATTGTTTTAGACGTAGTTGTGACAAATTTTACGTTGAGTTTAGTTGTGATAGATTTGGTGGGTAAAACAATATATATTTTTTTTATTCGTTAGA